GAGGGGGCGGCGGCACAGCGGGTGGGTGGGTGAGTCAGGGTCTGCGCGCGCTGCCAAGGTTTTGCTCTCCAGTTACTCGCGCGGATTGCGTCACGGAGAACGAGGGCGCGCCGGGGGTGGGTGGGGGCTGCCTGGCGAAAGTGGCGCCAAGGCTTCTCGTTCGCTCGCGCGCTCGGGTTGTTTCCCCCACCCTTTTCTTGCTGACTGAACCTTCGGGTGCTGATGCTGCTCGTTGAGTGGGGGCAGTTTCAATGAGTTGGTGCACGCCCACGTCCTGGAGCAGAAGAGGCATCTCCAGAGTGGAGCAGCTGCTGGTTCCTTAAAAATCAGCCTGCCCTCCTTCCTTAAGAAACAGAAACCCTTCAGCTTTCAATAGCTATCGTCCCCGTCGGCATCGCCGTCATCATCGTGATCATCATCCTTGCTGCCGCTGAGTGCCGGGGAGATGAAGAGGCACCTTGGGCCAGCCAGTCTTTTCTAAGTTTTCTTTTTCCAAAACTTTTTTGGCTGACTTTTATGTCACAGGGTTGTAAGAAGAGCAGCACGCGCGGCAGCCCTGGGTGCCGCCCAGAGCCCTGGAGTAAGGAAAAACTTTAAATTGAAAAAAAGGAGTTGTTTTTATTATTTTTAAAATTTTCCCCAACAGTTTTCTCCATTCCAAATTGTCCAGTCATTGAATCACTTCAGAGGTGAGGCAGAGGGAGGGGGAAGGGGGGAAGAAGTTTTAATTTTACGAAATAACTGCAAGCCACTTCATTTGCAAAAGAGGCAGAATGATATCTGCATAATCTCCACATAGATTATCTAATGGAAAAAATCAGGGGGTGTGGTTGAGGAAGTATCGTCTCAGCCACTTCAAAAACAGATGGGGCTTCAGTCAGAGGAACTTCACCAGTCTGTAAATTTGAGTTCAGGATGTTGAGTTCACGGTGTAATGATGATGGGCCTTGCAATTGCCACACATGTGTGCACCACAGTATAGATACCTATAGGATTGTCACAAGTAGACTATAATGTGTTTAACTCTCTGTCACGATGCTTACTGGTTCATGTACTTATTTTTGTTTTTAAAATATTAAGAATTTGCAGTTGAGAAAGTGTCAGTTAATAGGACTTCTCAAGTAAAACACATTGTTAAATTTGCCAGTGAGAAATTTATTATTTATTTATTATTTTATTGACTTTCTACCCCACCCATCTAGACCAAAGGTCTACTCTGGGCGGCAGAGAAAGCCAGAGTTTCAAAGCTATTCACAGATGAATTGTTCAAGGATAGATCACAACATTTCTGAGCACCGTACAGTGTTCTGAGCTTTGAAATAATTGTGCCTACAGAGAACATTCCCTCAGGAGCACCAAAAAAATTGTATGTGACATGTTTACAATTATGCCTGTGCTTGTTTTGTTAGTGTTTTGGGTATTTTGAGGAATTAGGAAAACCTCCTCTAACCATCTGTGAGTAGTTATGCACAACACTCTTTCTTGAGGCAAGTGGGAGTGGGTACCCCCATCATGAGGATTAACTACTGGGAGAATCTGCAGTGAGTAAATAGGCCAGGCATTGTGGTTAGCCATGTTTGCATTTCCTAGAGATCAATATCAGATCTATTTAACCTGAAACAAAGGAAAAGCCATGAAGTTTGTCAGCTTCACTTCAAATGAGTTGAAATGTGGCTGATCCCACAATAAATTATCAAGTGAAATAAAAGCAATGCTGGTCTTTGTAAGTGCCACACGAGTGCTACCAAAGATAGTTTATAACACTGTCTGAATGCTGTAGCAGAGTTGTATAATAACTTTCTCAGTCTTGCTTCCAGTTGAATGCATAAGTATGCAACTGTGAGAGCACATCACAAGTTCAGACACAACAAGGAGAAGATAATGATCAAATCACTTGGAAGGTTTCAGAGAAAACATTTCCCACGTTGTGGCTGCTCATTTCTTACAAGACTATGCTTAATATTTAGAACCAATTCAGTTTAAGATAATTAGTGTATAATTAATATACAAGATTATAACAGCCTAATCACTGCACTCATAGATGTTACACAATGTGAAATCATAAAGTAGCTTTCTGAAATCAAACCCAAGTTGTTCTTGTTCAGCTTGATATACCTTCCAAGCTTTTTGAACTACAAATCCCATACTTCTCAGCAGTGCTGACAAAGAATTATGGGAATTGGCCAATACATCTGGAAGGCAGTAGGTAAAGGAAATCTGTTGTATCCTTGCCATTCTGTTTCCAAATGTAAACACATTTTATGGCAGGATATAATCACTTTGTCTCTTACGTAGTACTCAGTTATACTCATACATCAATGTGTCAGCTGTTACTGGTTGTATCTGTGGACAGAATCATCCTCCATCCCTTTCTGCCATTTTGTGGCTAATCATGTATTGTATTCAGAACTAGTTTCTTTTGACAAACACTGTGTGCATAAGGCATTATCATTTTATCATATTATTTAGGAATTGTATGTTTATTGGATTCAGAATATGCCCTTTCCCCAATAAAGCTTTTAAAGTGTTTTTAGGAATAGTTTTGATATTGTTAAGTGTTTAATTTTAAAAAAATATATATCCTATGGTGTTTTGAACAGTGACCTCTGTGCTGTTTTAACTAACTACGAGCCACCTTAAGTCCCCTGTGGAGAGAAAAGCAGCATAGAAAATAAATCACACTTATGTACCTACATGATTTGGTTTTAAAATTCATAAGAATGTGACATAATTGAAGGATCCCATGAAGAAAGCAATTCCCCAGTATGGATTATGAGTATAATTGCCTGACATGATTATTGTTCCCAAAATGGTGGGCAGTGTGGTGAACATGTACAACAGGAAGACATTCAAGCAAATGGAAATAACACCTTTCACACTGTCTTTTAGAAGCTCTGCTGGCTGGTTTTGGGTTAGAATCTCTGATTAGTAGTAGCTGAGATGTGGGTTTGGTTATGCTGTACAAAACATCCTAGCATACAGCTCATAGGACTCAGTAAACCATTGGCTTTATCCTCTGAACTATCATTCTGACTGGCTTCATTTATTTTATTTATTTATTTATTGGATTTCTATCCCATCCATTTAGACCAAAGGTCTACTCTGGTTCACCTACAAAACATTATGTTTACCTTCACTCTGACTTAGGACCCACATTTCTGATTTAAAAAACAAGAATAAAACCCATTAAGACTGAAGTTTTCACATTTGCTGTGGAAATTTGAATGAATTAATCTGGTTTTCTTGAGTATGGGAGGAGAGGGAAAGCAGCATTTGTTGTTTATATATTTAAAGGCTTGGACTGAGCCTGTAATACAGTTAGAATCTGATGGTACTTTATTTTATTTTTTTTAAAAAAGATATAGTCATATACTTGTATGTTTTTATACATTTCTTTGAAACAACAACAGGCAACAAAGCTGGATACAGGAAAAGGACTAGGTTCACTATTTGCAATTCTGTATGCCAGTTTTGATAAACTGTAATTTATTTAAAATGCATATCAAGTGTTATATAGATCAGTACCTTTATGTTGTTTTTGTTGAGAGACTAATTAGAAGGTTAAGACCTCCCCAAAAAAGCAGACCAATAATGCTAATAACTGTGTCTCAATTCCTTGCCTACTAGTTACAGGTTGCTCACTCTTGATTAAACCCAGTACATTTAGAAAAAGAGATGAATTGTCTGTTTGTCTGTTTGTTTAATTTCTATACTGCCCATCTGGCTACAAGGCCATTCTGGGCAATTTATGCTGAATGAGACAGTAACACATACAATATAAAGCATAATCAAACAAATCAGAACAAAAATACAACATTCAATTACTAATATAAAATATACAAAGTCAAATGCAAAATCAAAATAACAAATGTACAGAGTAAATAAATAGTTCTTCTGCAGATTAAAGGTATCTGGAATACAAACAATGCTTTTCCATTCTTCACTAACCAATTCACAAATGTGACAAGTGGATGAATCCTTCCAGCCAAAGACAAGGGTGGGTAAGGCCGCAGGTTTCAAATTTCACTTCCAGGATGTACAGTCAGTCAGAATGCCCCTCCCAGTCTTCAGAAGATCAGTCTATGCTTTATAGCAGGGGTCTCAGCATGTGGGCCATATGTTACATACAGCACTGATGTTACCTGTCTGTCATGGGTTTGGAGGGAAAGTTCCATCCTATGGGGAGTGGAAGGCGGGACATCAGGAGGAGGGGCTGTACTGTATGTATATGTGAAGCGTGTGTGGAGAAGTTGGGAGACGCTGGGATGTGAAGAAGCAGCAGCTGGGAAGAAGAAGCTGGTGTGGGAGTCTGTGTGTCAGACAGGGTACTACTGTGTGTCAG